CTAGCTGATGACGATGGATAGCACCCCCCCCTCACGGCTGACGATGGATATCACCCCGCTCGCTAGCTGATGATGGACACCACGCCCCCCTCTAGCGAATGATGATGGATACCACCCCCCTCTCTACCCCCGTTCTTCTGTAACAGACGCACGAGCCTACTGCAGGTACTTTTGTGCAACCACCACCAAAAACTATTCCACCTCCAACTCTAGTAGTTTTTTTTTGCGAAAGGGGTGGCCCGTATAGGGGTACGCTTTTTGTTTTGTTTTGCAAAAAAAAAGCTGTTTAGAGGGATCGTGTGTGGAGTATGTGCGCACGAGAAAAAGAATAATTTTCATGCACAGGGGCGTGAAAATTAAGCCATGGCTGTCTGTCTGTCTGCGCGCCCTAAATACCCAGCAGACTCGAGCCCATTTCACCATCTCGGCACCAAATTGCAAACTAAAACTTGCGCACAACAAGTAATATTTTGCCCGAGCTGTCCCAACCGCTACCTTTGCAATCCGTGGTCGGTGTCTCGAGATAGCACACTGTTTGTGCAAATATTAGCTAGCAATTATATACGTCACATGGACGCATCCCCGGGATGCGCCGTCATTTTTGTTTTTCATTGGGCAACAAACTACACGCACGCAAGAAACCACGACGCACTGCCGTGCTGCACACACTGCTGCTGCTACTGGCAAGACACGCACTACACAGAGACAGGGAACATGGACAAGGGGGGCGGGACACACACACATACTGCTGTTAGCGACGGCGGAGGAAGCGGGGAACGTTTGGTTGGTCTGGGGTTCATCGCTGATGATGTTGTTGTTGTTGTTTCCGTTGTTTGTTGTTGTTCAACGCTGCCGGCCTTTTTTTCGCCTTTTTTTCTCTGGAGAGAGAGGGAGTCCCACCAACCAGCGTGTGTTGCACACACCACACAGCGAGAGCGGGACGGGAGCAGGGTGTGCCCTATACTACTGCTGCTGCTAGCTTTCGGCGGAGGAAGCGAGAGGAGAGATATTGATTGGGTCTCTGTGGGTCCATCGGTTGGTTGTTGTTATTGTGTTGCGACGCGGCGGGAGGGAGCGGCCTCTGACTCTGCTCTGGAGAGAGGCACACATACATCACAGCACGGGACCAGTAACACATCACGCTCGTTCCTAGACGATGTAGTACCACTGCTGTGCTGTGTACCTCTCTACGCTCATTGTGGGCGAGAGGATATGTCGCCTCTGCTGCTGCTGCTGTTGCTGTTATCTAAAGCGGTGGCGGAAGCGTCCTGTTCAAACAATCAGCAGCAGCAGCACCAGCCGCCGGGGAATTTTTCAACGTCAATTTTTTCCTCTCTAGCTGATGACGATGGATAGCACACCCCCCTCTGATGACAGCACCCCCCCTCACGGCTGACGATGGATAACACCCCCCCTCTAGCGAATGATGATGGATACCACCCCCCTATCTAGCTGGTGATGATGGACCGCCCCCCGTTCTTCTGTAACAGACGCACGAGCCTACTGCAGGTACTTTTGTGCAACCACCACGAAAAACTATTCCACCTCCAACTCTAGTAGTAGACGATGGCTTCCAAATGCAATGTCATGGGTGGAGGTAAAATTGACCAACGTAGATGGCAGTGACGCTGCGGTGGGACGTACCGTGTGCAGGTTGGGAAGAAGTGGTTCCCGCAGGAAGCGTTACTCGAAAATGACACGTCTGAAATTTCGCTTAGAAGAGTGGGGGATAGCTCGTGTCTGGTGAAACCAAACGATACTACGGGTATGGTGGTGAACCCCTGAAGGTGGTAAATAACAGGGTTTTCGCCTGATTGAGAGCGGAGTATACGATTGAGAGCGGGAGCCAAAAAAATTGAAATTTCGGGTCCAGACGCCTCTTGCCATTTCTTGGCAAGTAGGGGACGGGCTATTCCAAGAAGCGGTGCAAATTGAAGGTCTCATCAGCAGCTTCGCGAGCATATGCGTGTCATCGTCATCGGATGCTGCAGCGAGGAGCTAGACAAGTTGCTAGATTTGCCCAGATTGGCTATTTCTGCTCAAACTGTTTCAGGGCGGTATCGCGTCGGGCGGTGGGCTCTGCTGTAGCTTCTGCTCCCCGCTGTAGCTCCACAACGAGAGACTCCCACAGGATGACCAGGGTAGCGGCTTGAAGCTACGGGCTAGCCCTTCAATTCAAGCTACACAGCAAGCTCCACCTCTCAGTGGTAGTCCGGCTACAGCGTATCGCGCAATCTCGCTCTCAATCAGATGCTACGCTCTCAATCAGGCGAATATGTTGTTTACAGCGCATCGCGCAATCTCGCTCTCAATCAGAAACTTCGCTCTCAATCACACGAAAAGCTTTTTAAATGTGGATGATGCTCGTTTGGTGGAAAATGAGGAATTCAAAAATGTATTTGCGGTTCAGGAGGGTGAAGAGGCTGGCATGCCTAACGACGAACCTCCCGCTGATGTTATGTCGTCTTTGAATGGGGCGCAACAGGTGGCGTTCAGGCGGTTATGGCAGAGGTGCCTCCGCACATTCGAGACGTCTATTTTGACTTAAATGCGAAACTGTGGGAGCCGGAGGACATTGACAAACTAGGGACGGGGCAGAACACGTGCGCGACCTGGAGAGGTTTTTCGAGGGCATGGTCAAGTTCAACCTGAAACTGGCACCCAAGAAGACGAACCTGAGGGTGAAGGTGGTGACGTTCTTGGGACATCAAGTCACGGCGGAAGGGATCGGGCCGGACCCTGAAAAGGTGCGAGCGGGGTGCCACCTTCGCGATTTTGTCCGGTGTATACCGAGCGAGAGGCGCTCGCTGGGTCGAACAATCGCGATGATGTTGTGGTGGGGGAAAGTGGCTGTACATCGGCAAGCCTCACTACGGATGAACTGGCCGACAAAACGTGGGCGCTGATCCGAAGGGAAAAGGGCGTGTCCAACCCTTTGCCTGATGGTGCGTGTGTGCCTGATGACACCCGGTTGGTGGAACCGAGTGGGGAAGCAGTCAGTGGTCAGGTTGAGCCAGGGCTGATATTAAATGCTGTTCTTGTAACGGAAGTTGGCAGACGCTTGTTAGGATTGGTGGAAAAACCGCGAGTGTATGCTATTTCTCAAGGAGGGGGCAGTGCCTGTGGTGGTGGTGGTGGTAGTAGTAGCAGTAACGCTCGTGGGAGTGGGGCTGTTGCTGGTGGTGGGGGTAGCAGTAACGCTCGTGGAAGTGGGNCGCTGGGTCGAACAATCGCGATGATGTTGTGGTGGGGGAAAGTGGCTGTACATCGGCAAGCCTCACTACGGATGAACTGGCCGACAAAACGTGGGCGCTGATCCGAAGGGAAAAGGGCGTGTCCAACCCTTTGCCTGATGGTGCGTGTGTGCCTGATGACACCCGGTTGGTGGAACCGAGTGGGGAAGCAGTCAGTGGTCAGGTTGAGCCAGGGCTGATATTAAATGCTGTTCTTGTAACGGAAGTTGGCAGACGCTTGTTAGGATTGGTGGAAAAACCGCGAGTGTATGCTATTTCTCAAGGAGGGGGCAGTGCCTGTGGTGGTGGTGGTAGTAGTAGTAGCAGTAACGCTCGTGGGAGTGGGGCTGTTGCTGGTGGTGGGGGTAGCAGTAACGCTCGTGGAAGTGGGGAGGATGTTGCTGTTGGCGGAGGTGGCAGTAATGCTCGTAGTAGCAGGGCTGTTGCGCGTGGGAGGGGTCGAGGTGGTGCGGCTCGAGTAAGCGGGGCTGCTGGTGGTGTTAGGGGAAGGTGTTCCGGGGGCAGAGGTCCGGCAGCAACCCTGTTGCCTCAAATTCCGTTGCAAGCGTATGATGAACAACAGACGCAAGCGGCAATTGAATTTGGGGAGAATTTATGTGGTGTTTTGAAGTGCGTAGGACTGCGGAAAAGTGTGCCAAGTGGTGCAGTCGAATACGGGTCAAAATTTAGATGTGGTATTTTTGAAGTGCGTAGGACTGTGGAAAACTGTGCCAAGTGGTGTAGTTGAATACGGGTCAAAATGAACGTTGTGTTTAAGCAATTGCTGTTGTTGGTGAAGAATGTACCTTGTGATGGAGTCATATCGCAGTGGTATCACGGTCGTGACGGAATTGGAGTGTGTGGGTATTGCATGAGTTGATTTCTGGTGATTAATGTTCGGACTTGTTGCAAGGGAATGACATTGATTGGTTGAAGGTCTGCACGTTGTGGTCAAGTGTTGATTCAAACGAGACTGATCGCAGATAAGTATGTATGCGTTGAACCTGGGAGGGGCGAATGTCGTGCAATAAGTCAACCCTAGTTTTGGTCAGGGTAACAAGACTTGGGGTAGGTTAATCGCAGTATTTATGTTGAGGCGTGATGGAATGGACTTGAAAATGATGGCTCTGGGAGCAGGGTTGTAGTTAGTTCTGGTTGAGATATCGTCAACTAAGGTCATGAAAAGTGACTGAGTTGGAGAATAGAATTGAGGAGGTGTGGGTTTATGGTTGGAAGGATGAGCTTATGAGGGAATTGCAGTTAGTTGAGAGAAAGTGAGAGAGAGAGTTGGAGAGCAAGTGAAGCGGCGCAATTGGATTGTTGTTGTTGTTGTTGTCTTCACATTAAAAACCGTTCCGATCTCTCTCTACCCAGCACCGTATACCTTCGTATGTCCGTACTGATACAACACTCGACGCGGTCGATTCCCGTGGTCGCAGGCTAAGTTACCCTAAAAAAGTACACTCAAATAAAATGGCCCCGAGGGGTCCGCAAGTCAATAGAATCAACGACAGATAATCTGGGGTCCTCCACTCCCCCTGCGCGCTATGCGAGGTACAACAACTGAGACCAGAGGAGTAACCATCACGGGCCGGAGAGAAAGAGGTACACCCCATTGGTTCAATCTTGGTACTTCACAACGCAAGCAGAGACAAGGCCATCTGGTACAGAAAAAGAGAGGAAAATAATAGGAAACAGTAAGGAAAGAGAAAATGAAATAAAAAGAGCGAGGACAAAAAGGGACCAGGCCGAACATAACAAGAAATAAGAGACAGAAAAAGGCGCAGGGTGGAGAGACCACTATTGGATAGATACAGGTGAACCGGCGCAATTAGCTCGCGTCAGCTGATGTCGCGTGCCCCCCTATTTAAGTGTTCGATTTCCCTGCTGTTCCCGGCCCACGAAGGCCTAAGAAACCCACATTATTCGCAAGCAACTTCGAGACGCGCAAACCCACGACCTCACTGGCACATCTACACACATATCTACGCGCGATAGGCCACCGCCGGCCGATTCCACGTCAGAACGTAGGAGGGCTTCCAGAATCATTCTGGAAGCTTTCCTTCTAGATCTTTCGTGTGATCGGCTTTTTCGTCCGATATTCGAGGAGAGTGGTGCAGCCCTAAGCTCACTACCCCTCTCACTCCTCTTCAGTACCAGCAACATCAATCTGACTCGGGAGTCAGCAATTAATAAAACATCTTCATATTTCCATTCCCAGTCTCTCGCGGTTGGAGCCGCACAGAGTGTGAAACTATGAGGTAGGCTACACAGCCTCCTGGCATCTGCAGCATCGTACTGCTGCTAGTGCACAGCGAAATTACGCTGACATACAAAACTACAGCGTGGTTGACAGTACTACAGAAGAAGATAATAACCCAAACATGCACATGCAAAACTACAGCGTGGTTGGAGTTCCGTGACATGTGCATACAGTGCATGTTCGAACTCAAAGCACAAGTGAAACCTTTACAAAATAAAGAGCTGTGTGTGGCGTACGACGAGGAAACAAACCCTGTCCAAGTCTTTCCTAAAGCAGCAGACCTGTCCTTGCAACCTTGCCTCGGGCTATTTATTGTACAGACCAAGAATTCCACGAAAACGTGAAGATTCAGTACGTATTTGAATCTGTGGTTTGTGGAGGCGTGTTGGAATTCGGAAAAGCGGGGATCGAAGAAAAGTAGAGACAGCCCTGGTGGCAGAAAGTTTTTGTGCTCTCCCTGGGCGAGAGACAGGCAGCAAGTCCATTTGAGAGAAGGAGAGGAGAAGCAGAGATAGCAGCTTTGAGGAGCAGCAAACACGGAGTGCCTTCTAGGATTTGATCGATTTCGGGATGGACGCCAATGATGGGCAACCGGCGAGCGCGAGCGCCGCGGCGGGCGGCGCGGCGGCCATTCCAGGCAACTCGGGGGACGGCAGTCCTCCAAACTCGGCTGCCGGCGGCGGGGACGACCAAAACAGGCAGAAGCAACAGCGACAACAACAACAACAGCAGCAGGGACACCAGCATGGCCAACCGCAGCAACAAAACGTCGGCGGTCTGGCGGCAGCAGTTCCGCCGCCGGCCATGATTTCCGGAGCCCCCCAACCTCAGCTGATGCCACAGCAGCAGCAGCAGCAGCAGCAGCAGCAGGGGCAGCAGCAACAGCCCCAGCAGCAGCAGCAGCAGGGGGCCGGGAACAACCCGAACGTCTTCTCGCTGCTACAACAGCTCGTCAATCAGGGCCACCGCCAGCAACTACAGATACGGTCTCTCCAGGAGGTGGTGGTAAACTTGACCGGCAACCGGCAGCCCGCGCAGGGCGCCGCGGCCCACAACAATGCACAGGGCGGCCCCAATAGCCAGTCCGTAGCCCTCCCCCTGGCCCAAGCGCCGCCGCCGCCGCCGCCGCCGCCGCCGCAGCAGCAACAGCAGCAAGAACAACCTCACCAGCAGCAGCATCCGCAACCGCTGCAACAACAGTATCAACACCAACGACTTCAGGCCTACCCCAGCCAGCACTACCACCAGTCTGCCGCGCCGCAGGGATACCAACAGCTCGCGAGCATCCCGGGGGCCGCGCCTGTATACAATGCCCATCGGCTGAAAGGAGCCCAAAAGCTGGAGGGCCGCACTTGGGAGAAGGACGGTCAAGCGGCCCTGTACCTAATGCGAGGCGCTACCTTCTCGCCTATCGTCATGACGGGGGGCGAGCTAGACCACATCATTCGGGACGTGGCCCACCCGCACCCGGGCCTGCACGCGCTGCTTACCTTCAGCGCCATCGACATCGCGGCGTTCTCGCCGCCGCGCCCCCCGGGGGTAGCGGCGGTGACACGCACGTTCGACGTGCATCTCGACACCTTCATTCGCGTCCTGGAAGTCTTCATCAAGGACGGCATGGCGGGCGCCTCTGCGGCCGGGGCCGACCGAGTNCTCTCCGGCCGGGGCCGACCGAGTTGGTCTGTTTTTCCGGGAACTTTTCAGGATCTCCGAAAACCTCCGCCGGTACTCGTCCCGCCACTGCGCCGAGTTCAAGGGCCGCGANTGTCGGTCGTCTGACTACCGAAGCTAGAGCGCTCTGGCAGCGCAACACCCTGGCCCCCCCACCCCCCAATACGGTGGGGGCGATCCAAGTTCCGCAGTTCTCAAGGACGTTGGTCCTGATTGCGGAGGGTACGGCTTCTTCGATGGTGGGAAAGGGGCACAACCAGCGGCACCCGTCACTCTTGCCTGCCGTTCCTCCCCCGCCCCCCCCTCCGTCCGTCGCTCCGCCCGCACGTGCCCCCCCTGCCTCGAGAGCGACACAAGCACCAGTCGCGAGGTACAGCCACGGAGGCGGCCGGGGAGGAGGAGCAGCGGGAGGGGGAGGAGGTGGAGGGAGCGCGGGAGGAGGCCGTGGCGGTACCAACCCGTGGCGGTACTAACCCTCACCCTAACGGTGCGGGCCCCACGTTCACGAGGTGGGACCGACAAGGTGGGGTGGCGAGCTTGGCACGGGAGCGAACGCCTTCGCTGACAGCAGAAGGACAGTAGCGAGCGTGGGAGTTCCCCTTCCCGGGTGGGTGGCACCCGCTGTGTTTTACGGTGAGAGCATGAGTTGCGAACCTGTAATTTCCCATACTGTTAACTGTTCGGATTCGGTTTCGCCTTGCATAGTGGCGAACACCACTCACGCCGAGACGTCACAAACAGTAGCTACGGGGGCGGACACCCTCGGCGCTAAGGACGGGTCAAATAGCACACAAGCGGAGGACACCTCACGGGTGATAGACGAGTCAAAACTTTTGGCGGACACCAATTTTGCGAATACTGACACACACCGGGCGGACACCCTGCGTAAGAATTTGTCAGTCACACAGCCCCGA